ACCGTCTAAGCTAATGACTTCATCTTGTTTGAAGATTTAACTTCATTTTATCTAAGGCATAGACCTGTTTAAGCCAAAGACTTCACTTTATTTGAAAACTTGACTTTCTTCATCTATGGTAAAGACCATTACACCGTCCAAGACAAAGACTTTGCCTTTTCCATGCTTGGTAGGATTAGTCTTGAGATATGACACATTATATTATGAATTTAAGGCCATGAATATCGCATTTCTAAGTTAAGTTCTAATAAACACTTTTCTCTCTTTTTGCAGTCTAAACATAGTTTACTTCAAAGACTCAAGAATTTCTTCCTCTTATTCACAATGCCTTATTATTTCGGACCATAAGGTAAGCAAGGAAGGGACAAGGTTACTAGTTGATAGGTCAATAATCTGCCAATATGCTGCAGCTTCATGTGTACCTTTGAGGGACCTACCTTATTTGGCAGACTGGACGCTTGAATACAATAGTCGTCCTCCAAAAACATGGATGCTTTGCACTACTACTCATCATGCTTGGAATATCGCGAGTACCTTACCATGCCTAGGGCGTCGAATTATTAACAAGGAAACTCAATGGGGTAATAATTTGCCGTTCGGCAGTGAATTTCATTACGTTCCTGGCTACTGGGAATGGGCAGAAGACGTCCTAAGTAGGTGTCGCTTGTCACTGGAGGGTGCAAGAGTTTATGATGCCGTATATTTTCATTCTTCACATATGACCATAATACGAATATTATGCAGGCTTTCTGTGAGGCATGGTGCCCTATTACCAATACATTGATTACCTCTGCTGGAGAACTATTCATATCACTTTGGGATTTGTATAAGATTGGTGGTTTCCCTATAATAGGATCTCCTTACGAGGAAGTTGTGCCAAACATTGAAGAGCTTACAGGCACATATGACAAGGGGAGAAGGTTTCTTCCCCAGACTTGTGAGCATTTATTTGATGCCTTCCATCGGCTCCAAAAGGGAGGTAGCAATGATCCAAAGGTTTCTGCGAAAAAATGGGTAGAGTTCTGGTGTAGGAAGACAATGAAGTATACTCATCCTCCTTTAAGGAAAGAAAAGAAGTCAGCTTATTTGAAATCGACGCACAATCCTACCGGAGTCATAGAGGAAGCAGTTAATTGGTCGACTGTTGAAGAAGCTTTATTCCATAAGCTAGGAGTTATGGATGACAAGAAAGACGAGACGTACTTGGCTGCTTTTCTATCTTGTTGGTTATGTATTTTTGTGCTCCCTTCAAAAGATGGTGCCTTCATTCGTCCTGGTACCTTTAAGATCGCGTGTCATCTTGCTTGTAAACGAAGAGTCATTCTTGCAGTCCCAGTCTTAGCCAGAATATATAAGGGTTTGAATGAGATTTCAAAGTGCTCGTTGCTTGATCCTGCTCAAACTTGTTTTCCAACTCATTATGTGTATGGTTGGTTAGCCGATTACTTTAAGACTCATTTTTCGTATGCAAAGGGGCCAGCTGTTCCTCTCATGGCCGCATGTTCTGGTAAAGGTGCTGCTAGATATTTTGGGAAAGAGGAAGCAAGGAAGCGTATTCATAATGGAGAAAATATCATTTGGACTTCGATAATGCCTCGCAGATTTGATCCGTACCACTACTATGACGATGGTAAGGCAGATGAGTCCAAGTTAAATTTCTGTATGAGTAGTCGCTCGAATTATCTTCTTTTGAGGGATGGAGTCAATTTTATTATTGAACCTTACAGCCCTCATCGATTTAGCCGCCAATTTGGTTTTTATCAAGACACCCCTGGTCACTTGGAGCAAGATTTTCGTGAGGCCTCATTAGAAGAAGGGTTAAGACTTGCACGAATTTGTGTGTTGACTAGATCTAAGTCGAGGGCAGTATTTCCTCCTTTTGGGTCCAACATGAAGAAATTTACATCGTCTAACTATAGATCTTGGTGGGCAAGGGCGCATGGAAGACTTCTTGAAGACCACTTACAATTTTTGATGAATACTGTTGAGCTAATCACAAATACCATTCAAGACCACAACGAGGATGTCTTAGTGATTGATAAGCTTCCTGCTTTACAATCAAAGGTAGTTGAGATGCGCGCAGGCAATAGACCCATGCTACACAAAGAAGTTCAAAGAGAAGAGATCCATACTCCAATTGACAAAAGTCTTATTCCATTTGGTGTAGTCGTTGATGCCTCTAACAAACGCCTATCCCAAGAGGAGAGTGATAACATCAAAGGAGATCAATGTTGGAAAAAGAAAAGGCCAAACCCAGAAGGGGTTGTAAAGGTCCAAAGCGTTGATAGCCCTTCAAGAACACGAACAACTTAGAATGAGAAGGTAAAAGAAAACATAAACTTTTTATTTTTGTTATCCGTGGCCAAATGAATTTGCTAAAGTGTTCTTACATTTATTTATTTATTTATTATTATTATTATTATTTTTCCAAGCTAATAACGTTGGAGCGTTGCAACAAGTAAGGCCATAAGATAGTGGTGAGTCTGTAGCAGGACCGAACCCACAAAAATTATCTTCCACAGCTAAAGTAGATCAAGAGGCAACTTCTATTTCTCATGATTGAATTAGGGCAAAGTTGGGCTCTGAATTGCGTGAACGGCAGCACTGCAGACAATGTCTCTGAGATTGAAGAAAACACTAAAGTGATCCTTGAGGCAGTAGGTGGGGATGATGTGGATATTTCCCCTTTGAAAAACCTATTAGAGTCCCTTTTTGAGCTTGCTGCTTCATATAACAAGACACGGTCGGATTTATCTGAGAAGGTTGAAGAGAATGCAATATCAGATGTTGAGGTACACCTTACAAATGCCATGATTGAAGAAGAAGAAGAGAAGGTTAGAGAAGCGTCATCTATCTGTCAGTCCCTAGTTACAGTGAAAGAGAAGATAGAGAAGCTCTGTGAAAAAGAGAAGAACTTAGAAGCCCTTTTAGAAGTTGTTGAGAAAGAAGTTGAAGAAGCCAAATTAGGAGCCTCAACTACTAGAAAGGAGTATGACGCATGCTGCACTGCCTCGTGGACTGCAGATGACTTGGCCGATTAGGAGAAGAAGAAGAAATACTTGGAAGCTATGCTCAAAGATTTGGCCAACTACAAGTTGTGCTTAGATTAGGCTATAACCAATACTCTATTTGTTTTTTCTTTTTCTTTTCTTCTTGCATTTGATTGTTTAGTAGATGTTCTTATCAGAAATAAAACTTTTTTTGCTTCACTGTATATTGTGAGTTCTCCTTAATGTTCCCCTTTGTTCTTGACTTATTTTTAGTGCTTTATGGATTTGAAGACTTGACATGCTTGCAGACTTTAATTTAAAGAACTAGCCGAGTTGAACACTTCAAATTGATGATGTAACAAGCCTGGAAAAATAAACTTGACTTAAAATTGGAGACTTCAACTTGAATACTTAGCCTCTTATTAAAGAAGCTACCATCATTCCATCAAAGACCTCAATTTGACATGGAGGACTTACCCCCATTGAGCCATCAAGACATGACAGAGGGTTCAACGAAAGAATACATGTACACCTAATTTTCTAGTGTCAATCAAGTGAATTATATTCCATCATACCTCATTTGAAAAATTCCTTGGGTAATATGTATTTTTTGAACTCATATGACTGAAAATAGAATGAAACTCTAAGCTGCCTACATACCTCGATGAAGAGCATCAAGTCATTCCGTAGTTTGAAATAGGTGAGTTTTTTTGTGTCCTAACTTTTGTTTAGGCCGCCTCTATCAAGGTTTTCAACCTAGCGGACTTTTTTTTGGATGTCCTAACTTTTGCCTAAGCCACCTCTTTCGAGGTTTTCAACCTAGAGGACTTTTTTGTGGGCCGTGCACAGTTTATACTCTTGCGGGTCAGGAGTAACATGCAGTTTATGCTCGTGCGTTGAGGAGCGTATCTGTTTTCTTCAAGGATAGTATCTCTTCATTAATTTCCCGCTGATGGGGCCAATCCACAAACCTTCCGAGTCAACTATCTTGTAAGCGCCACTTGAGTATACCTCTTGTACGATATATGGTCCATCCCACTTAGCAGAGAATTTGCCCACAGATCGACGAGAGATAATAATAGGCCTTTTGACCACAAGAACTTGGTCACCCACTGGGAAAGATCTAAGGCGTACCCTTTTGTTAAAAGATCGAGACAAGCAAGCTTGATAACATTCAAGGCTTTGTTGAGATTCTAGCCTCTTTTCATCAAGAGCTTCCAATTCTTCAAGGAGTAACCAAGCATTTTCTTCATCAGTGAGTCCTTTTTGAATGGCAAGCCGCAACGATGGGATTTGGCGCTCAAGTGGAAGGACTGCTTCAACTCCATAAACAAGCGAATAAGGAGTTGCTTGCGTTAGTGTGCAATATGTGGTCCTATATGCCCAAAGAGCTTCTTCCATTCTCTCATGCCAATCTCTCTTAGACTTAGAAACAACCTTTTTCAATAATTTGTAGAGTGTATTGTTAAATGCTTCAGCTAGTCCATTGGCAACAACATAATACATGGAGGAATAGCGTTGCTTGAAGCCAAAAAGATCACATATTTTATTCATCAACTTATTATCAAATGGCTTACCATTGTCCGTCAATATATATCGCGAAATGCCAAATTGATAGATAATATTGACTCGAATGAAGTTAGCTACATTTTCCTTCTTTACTTCCTTAAGAGAAACAACTTCTGCCCACTTCGACAATAGACCAATAACATCTAAACCCCAAGCATCAAATGGCCAAGAGGCAACAGTTGGGTGTAATACTTCAGGTGGTTGATATATGAAGTTAGCATGGAATTGGAAATCTTTACCCCTCCGAGCATAATCCAAACAATCTTTCACCATGGTTGGCCAATAATACCCCATTCTTTTTATGTTGAAATGAAGTTTTGGCACAGATTGATACGCACCACATACTCCAGAGTGTGCTTCTTGCAAGGCTCGAAGGGATTCATCAGTCCCCAAACAACGTAAGAGCACTCCATCAAATGAACGTCTGTAGAGTGTATTCTTTTAACAAAGAAAACGAGGGGCTCTCCTTCGGATTTTCGTTTTCCTTCGAAAATTTTCTAGCAATATACCGTAACAAAGATAATCGATTAACGGTTGTTGCCAGTCTTCAATTCCAAACTCAAGAACAGAAGCAGTATGCTCAGCTTCGCTTTCTTCTTCCTCATTGTCATTTGGTGGAGGAACTACCCATCTTTGGCAAACAGTGACTTGTGTCTGATCAGGAAAAGATAATGTAGAAGCTAAGGATGCTAATGTATCAGCTCTCTTATTTTCCTTTCTCGGCACGTGTAGAGTAGTTACCTCTGCCAGCCAACTTACCAATCTTTGAGCATATTTGTGATATGGCACCAACTCTGGATTCTTGACCTTATAGCTACCCAAAATTTGATTGATCACTAACTTGGAATCTCCAAAAAGTTGTGTTTGCAATTGTTTGATATCCACAGCCATTTCAAGCCCAAATATGAGCGCTTGATATTCAGCAACATTATTGGAGCACTGTTGTGTCAGAGTAAAAGAATAGGGCAAAACTTCTTCTTGAGAAGTGATAAACATTATTCCAGCGCCATCTCCTTCACGATGTGCAGCGCCATCAAAATATATCTTCCAAGGAGGCTGAATTTCTATGACCATTGCATCTTTATCAGGCAATTCATCAGACAACTCCCAATCATGTGGAATCGGATGGTCAGTTAGGAAGTCTTCTAATGCTTGTCCTTTTACTGCCTTTTGAGGAACATACACAATTTGAAATTGTTGAAATTGGAGGTACCACCTCGCTAATCGATCACTTAGGACTGGTTTAGACATGACAAACTTGATAGGGTTTGCTCTTGACACGAGTCGCACAACGTGAGCTTGGAAGTAATGATTCAGATTCTGAATAGAGAAGACAAGTGCCAAACATAACTTCTCAATAGGCAAATACTTGAGCACATTTGGCATCATCATCTGACTCAAGTAATAAAGTGCATTTTCTTTGCCTTCATTGTTTCCTTGATCTCGAAGCGCTCCTACCGACCTTTCATGTACTGAAACGTATAATATTAATGGCTTTCCAGGTATGGCGGTGGGTAGCCAGTACTGGGGTTTCATCAGATAAGACTTAATGCTTTCAAAATCATTTCTGCAAGCTTGAGCCCATTCAAAAGGAACCCCTTTCTTCATGAGGCGACTAAATGGTTGGCATCTTCCAGCCAGATTCGAAATAAATCTCCTAAGATATGCCAACTTACCCTGCAAGCTTTTTAATTCATGAATATCTTTAGGCTCGGGCATTTTCAAGATAGCATCCACCTTAGCTTGATCAATTTCGATACCTCGATGTTGAACATTAAAACCAAGGAACTTCCTAGAAGTAACTCCAAAAGCGCACTTCAATAGGTTCATTCTGAGTTGTATCTCCGAAGTCGCTCAAATACCATCCTCAAATCTTGCAAGTGATCATCTTTGGAAGTGATTTCTTCTTCTACCTGCAAAAAAAAAAAAAAAAAGAGAAACATATCCATATAAAGGAGATCATAAAATTACCTGTGAAGATTGAAGTTGAAGAGATATTTTTGGTGGTCAACTTTTTGAAAAAAATAAATCATGCTTCATACAATCTCTGATTCATGTATTTCGAAATGAGGACGAGTTTTCATTCTTTTGCGCCAAAAGGTCAAATCTTTTGGTGGTGAAGTAAAATCTTCAAGTTAAACTGTATAATGGACTTTGCTGATCTTCGTCTTGGGCAAACTATAGTCTTCAGCTTAAAAGGTGTAATGGTATTATCTTCGCACAAAGTAAAGTCTTCAGCCTAGAGGGTTGTCTTCGTCTTGGACAATGTATAGTCTTCAGCTTAGACAGTGTAATGGTCTTAGCCTCGGACAAAGTAAAGTCTTTAGCTTGGATGGTTGTCTTTGCTTCAGATAAAATAAATCTTTGGCTTATACAGTGTAATGGTCTTTGCCTCAGATAAAAGTAAAGTCTTTGGTTTAGATGATGTAATGATCTTTGCCTAAAATAAAGTAAAATCTTTGGCTTAGACTGTGTAATGGTCTATGCCGCAGATAAAATGAAGTTAAATCTTCAAACAAGATGAAGTCATTAGCTTAGCCGGTGTAATGATCTTCGCTTCAAATAAAATGAAGTCTTTAGCTCAGACAGCGTAATGTCTTTGCTTCAGACAAAATAAATCTTTGGCTCATACGATGTAATGGTCTTCACTTCAAACAAAACCTTTTGGCTTTGACAGACAGTGTAATGGTCTTCGCCAAACAAAGTTGAAAGGTAATTTGCATGACAAGCAAAACGACTAAAGTTAAACAACCAAAAAAAATATTTTGGATTTGTGTGAATAGCCAGGTGATATTAACTAAAGATGGAATCATAGCAGAAGTAAATCATCTAAAGGCAATCAAGTCAATTCCAATAAAGATCCATATGGCGATATATTGAGGAAGTCACTTGACTAGACTCACAATATTGACTGAATTTGCAAGTATAGACAAGTTTCACTTTTGGATTATAGCAAGCAACAAACGGATGAGTTCATGAATGATCCAAGCAAGTAATTAATGCATAGATTAAAAAAAAAACAAAAGTGTTGCAATAAATAAAGTCATGTGATTCAAAAATCACGCAATGGTACAAGGCCAAAAGAAAGTATCTGGCATGGTACATTCTTCTTATATAGGAATAAAAATTTCATATTCCCCCAGAAGAAAGATAAAACTACTCACTGATAGCTATTTCGCAGCAGATGTTGGAGAACAATTTTTTTTTTCCTTCTACTCTCTTCTTGAGTTTTCTTTGCTTTGGAATTTTGTGTGTATTTCAATCCAGGCTTATGGTGTCTCTATTTATAGATGTTTGGAGGAGTTCTCCTAATCCAGTAAGATGTGTAGTGGCTATGGTCTTCTCAAAGAATAAGATTTTATCTCCTAAAAAATAGGAAAATAGTAGCATGGGGAATTATCAATAGAAGATCCGATAAAGGTGAAGAGTCCTATAGAGATTGAGTCTAGCTGAATTCAAAGAGCAGGGAAAATTAAAAAAAAATAAATCGCGACGGAATAGGAGAGCAGCACAAAGTCCTTGCAAATTGAGGAGATAAGGTCGTTGCCGGTTTTTTTTAAAAAGAATAAAGCGACAAATGCCTTTTACCATTGAAATGAGTAAAGCTTGCCAATTATTGCAAAATTCAACACTTTAACATTATTATATTATTTTAATGTTAAAGTATGAATTAAAAGATGGACTTTGCAGCAATATTAGCAAGTTAACATATTTTCATTAATTAGCTCAATGTACCCTTTATATTTATGGATATTATTAGTACTTCAAGCCTAGTTTTGAAGATTAATATTCGACAAGTCTTGAAGTAGGGGGCATTTGTAAGCATTTAAATTTTATTGGATTTAAAGCCCTAAAATAATTTGGACCATATTAAATTCAAGACATTAGTCCAAACAAATATTGTGGCTAGTAAATTGGGCTAATTATTAAAAGCTAATATATGTGTTGGGCTAGTCATTTAATTGGACTATAAATTAAATGATTAGCCCACTTTAGTATCCCAAGGTCCAAATGGCTATTTGCTCGTCTTAAAGCCCAGGCTCGTGCCACGTGTCAAGTGATGTGGCAATCCAAGTCAAAAGAACGAGCTAATAAAATCATGCCATGTNGCTCGTCTTAAAGCCCAGGCTCATGCCACGTGTCAAGTGATGTGGCAATCCAAGTCAAAAGAACGAGCTAATAAAATCATGCCATGTGTCAAGTGATGTGGCAATCCAAGACAAGTAAATGAGCCAATGAAATCATGACATGTGTCAAGTAATGTGGCAATCCAAGCCAAATAAATGAGCCAATTAAATTATGCCAAGTGTCTGGATGGTATTGGTCAGTTCAAGCAGACCAATCAAATCGCAGAGTCATACCACTCCCTACGACTATAAATAGAGGTCTTCATAAAGCTAGAAGACACCAAAAGTGATAACAAGAACCTAGTAGAGAGCCCGTGGATCAAACACCGCAAATTTCTCTGCATGTTACAAGTTCAAGCACTCAAGCTACAAGTTCAAGTTCAAGAACGAAGTCAAATCAAATACCAAGGCATTCAAGATCAAATTACTTGTTCGTGATCAAACCCAAATTCAAGTTCAAGGAGGAGATTCAAGATCAAGCTTTACAAGCCCTTGAATCAAATCAAAGTCAAGCTCATTAAGATACTTTACATTCTTGAAGAATCGAAGGAATACCATAGAGATTGTAACACTTTCATTTATTGAAATCAAATACTAAATTTGATATGCAATTTTCAGTCTTGATTATTTATTTTTCTCGACGCGAAAATTTGTTGTTACAGTAATTGTCACACCTCTTTTTTCACCTACACCCCGGGTATAATAAAGGGAGTTTTTTCCAATTTAAGTGACAATCGAAACGGGATTATTTTAATTAAAATTCAGAGTCGCCGCTTGGGATAATTAATGGTGTCCCAAGTCACCGGTTCAAATCCCGAATCGAGGAGAAGATTGACTCTGTATTACAGTCTGCGAACACAGAAATCCGGGTAAGGAATTCTGTTAACCCGGGAGAAGGTGTTAGGCATTCCCGAGTTACGTGATTCTAGCACGGTCGCTCAACTGTTATAATTGGCCTATTATCT